TGTTTCTCAGCATTAATATCAAAGCAAGGAAAAATATTAAGACAATTTATGCTGAGCCCTGTGTTGTTCTAGCAATAAGGAATATTCATCCATGGATAGGTAAACTAGTAGGAGAAAAATCCCAGCCCCCCCCCAACCTCATTAAAAGATGCAGTTCCAGTAATATTTTACGTTTGTGCTTAATGATTGTGTATTTAAACTATAATTGTGTGTTAATCAGTAATCAATTGTGTACTAAGAATAATTAATGATAGCTCAGGCGAGAATAAATTAATTAACACTTAGAGCCTTAGGGTCTCAGGAGGCAAAATTTCTTTTTTTTTTTTTTTTCAACGTTTATTTATTTTTGGGACAGAGAGAGACAGAGCATGAACGGGCGAGGGGCAGAGAGAGAGGGAGACACAGAATCGGAAACAGGCTCCAGGCTCTGAGCCATCAGCCCAGAGCCCGATGCGGGGCTCGAACTCACGGACCGCGAGATCGTGACCTGGCTGAAGTCGGACGCTTAACCGACTGCGCCACCCAGGCGCCCCAGGCAAAATTTCTTTTAATAAACATATAGTAATATTTACTCAGACAAGTATAAAAGCACATTCAAGAAAAATCTTTCAAGCATAAAAATTACTTTAGGATTACATCGCATGGAAAGATAGAATGGAAATACAAGTTCAAGGAGAAAAAGGAAAGTTGTGAAACCTTTACTCTGTTGAAGATGAGCTTGTTTATACATTTTTTAAATGGATGATGAATATGTAAAAATATTGAATCTTTATGTTGTATACTTGAAACTCATATAATGTATGTCAATTGCACCTCAATAAAAATTTATCTTGAATTAAGTCTTCTGAATTAATTTAAAAATTGAGAGATTGTCATGCACTAGACCTGATGAAACATTTCATATTGTCATTTCAAGTGTTAAACCTGAGACATAAAAAGAAATGGGTGATGGTCGGTAGCAAATGATACTGGCACTAAGTTTCTAGTGGATGCATTAAAATGAGGGATGTGACTGTTTTTTATGTCGATATTTAAAATACATTAGAAATGACATCTTTTGCAAATATTCTAACTTATAATAAAGAAATTTATATGTCAACTTAAAAATATGTGAGGGTATGGGACACCTGGGTGGCTCAGTCTGTTAGGCGTCCGACTTCAGGTCAGGTCATGATCTCACAGTTCGTGAGTTCAAGCTCCGCATCAGGCTCTGTGCTGACAGCTCAGAGCCTGGAACCTGCTTCAGATTCTGTCTCCCTCTCTCTCTCCTCCTCCCCTACTCGCTCTCTGTCTCTCTCTCTCAAAAGTAAGTAAACATTTAAAAAATTAATAAAATTTAAAAAATGTGAGGGTAAATACTGTAAAATTCCATTTATATGATGTTACAGAAGAGGGAAAATTAATCTATCATGAAAAAATCAGAACAGCGGTTGCCTCTAGAAGGGACGGGGACACAGACTGACTGCAAAAGAGTTCAAGGGACCTCTTTGTTATAAACGCAAAAGCATTTGTCAAACATCATCGAATGGGGTACTTAAAAATGTGTACATTTCACTGAGGCAAATTTTACTTCAAAAAAGAAAAACTACTAATATAGGTAGTGTCATGCATGCCAAAAAATTTAGAGGTGAAATGTATTGGTGTCAAACATGTATTTGGAAATGTACAAAAAATAAAATGGATTGAAAATGGACAGATGTAGAGATAAGTAATGTAACTAAACCAAAATGTTTATGGGAGAATCTAGGTGGTGTGTGTATGTTGCTCACTGCTCAAGTATTTCAACTTTTCTGTATGTTGAAAATACTCACAGTAAAATATTGGGCAAAGTGCACAAATGAGAATATTTTTTTCATAATTCTTTGAGGGACATGTGGGCAAAAGTTTGAGACCATTGGTTTCCATTATCACCATTTGCTAATGAATCTCTAACTTCAACAGCCCAAACCTCTCTCCAGAATCCCAATAATCTTTCCATCTTCTCCTGGACCACTCCATCTGGATTTCCCATCAGATCTAAAACTCAACAGATCCAAATGTGAATTTACTGTCTTCCTGTGTCAGTTAGAAATGTCATCAAGTGACAGAATGTAACAAACAAAACGAGGGCGATTTTTCTTACATAACAAGAGATCTGGAGGTGGATGGCTGCTGGCGTTGGCTCAGCAACTCAACGATCTCCTGGCAGGTCTGCCATTCACTTGGCCTTTCCTCATAGCCACAAAGTGTTCTACTGTTCCAGGCATCATGTCTGAGTTCAAGATAGGAAAAAGGGGAAGGAAGCAATGCCAGTGACAATTGAACTTTTATTAACACAACTTCAGATTTTCCAGAAGCCTCCAGCAGCCTTCCACATAAATACCATTAATCAGAACTGCAAAGGAAACCAGGAGGCAGGTACCCAGCTTCCCTGACCTCTAAATTGGATGTAGGATTGGGTGACAGGAAAGCCCAGCTACAGCATATATAACATTCTCCCCCAAACCTGTTCCACCTCCTATACTCCCTCTCTGAATTAATGGTCCCTGGACCTGATTAATTACCCAAGTAAGGAGGCCAGGAATCATCCTTACCTTTCTTTCCTCTCTACTCTTCATATTCACAGTCTTGATCTTTTCTCAGTCTTTGAGTCTCTCTCAGATCTGAACCTCCTTCCTATATCCACTGCCACTGTCTTGGTTCAAGTTCTCATTTCTTCCCTGAACTGCTTAGTCTCAAGTCTTAACTTTAAACCATCTTCCATGTGGCCCCAGCTTGACCATTCTAAAAATAGACATCTAACCATCTTATCGCCTGCCTAGATCTGGTCTGTGGCTTTGCATGACACCTAGTTTAAAAGCTAACTTCCTGAGTATGTCATGTATTGTAGCCCCCCATTTTCATATAATAATGGATTCTTACAAATGTGTTATCAGTCAGGGTGCCCCAGTCCTGTCAAGGGTCAGCTCCCCTAAGACACAACTTTATAGATGGGGAGGGGGGAGCTGGGAAAGTCAATATTCAAAATCTAAACCTGTTATGCTAGGTAGGGAACCATCTGTCTCTAATACATGTGAGCTAAAATCATAGTATGAAGGAATAATACATTTACATGTTATTATAAGGGTTCTGTTCTCAAGAGTTTTGAATATATCATCTCTAAATGCATTTTGTCTTAGAGACTTAAAATTCAACAATATATTTAAAATATATCATTGCTGTTCATTCAGTTCAGATTTATTGAATGCCCACTAGGTACGAGACCCTACCCTTTAGTTCTTTTCCTTCATAATAGAGCAGAAATGAGAGACCTAGAACAGTGTTTGATGGAAGCTATTTGCTTCTTTCTGCATACCTAATGACTCACATCTTTGTCTCTATTGCACTATTTGAGACTTATTACCAGAATCAGCACTTTCATTTTTCTGGCTTCTTACTCATTTTCATAAATAAAATTCACTATTCAAACAAATGTCCAAAGACACAGATGGAGGCAAAGATGGCAACATGGTAGAAACCGGTTGATTGATAAGAGTGTGATGCGGTGATAGCTTAGCTTTAGAGAGTACTTACTCTGTGCCAGGCACTGTTCTAGGCACTTTACAAAGAGTAACTGAATCCTCACAACTCTACGAAGCAGGTGCTATGATCTCCATGTTGCAAATGAAGAAACTGAGACCCAAGGATACTTTTGGACCTTTGTCAGCTGAGAGCTATGCCCACCACCTCCCAGATTCACCTCCTGTCTGTTCCACTTGAGCTAACTACATTTCTCGTAGTTGGAGATCGTGTGTATGGGGGGAGGGACTTTGGTCTCTCCAGCCCTGTGGTTTTGTACATGCTGTCCTGTCTGCCTGGACTGCTCTTCCTTTGTGCTCACCTCATTCTTGAAGACCAGGTCAGGCCCACTCTCCTCTGTAAAGTCTTCCCTGTCTAATGAGGTGAGGTCCAGATCTGCTGGCCAGCATCTTGCCCAACCTCCCCATCTTGCTGTAACTATGTGCTTACAGATGTCTCTCTACCACCATAGAAGATACTGCCAGGCCTAGCTGTCTCATTGTTGAGTCCCTGGGGCTTGCTACTATGCCTAGCCTATAATTGGCACTTCAAGTTTTGCTGAATTGATGCACAGGATTCCTGGATTTTACACTTTCTTGTCGCCCCCATACCGTCTGGCACCACATATTGCAGACTCTTAGTCAATGGGAGCGGGAGCCTGGTTTCCCTGCCAGCAGCCTAACTTAATAAAACAGCAACACAAAACCCACCCCCCCCCCTTTTTCTCCCGTGTCCACATCACAATTTAATACCCCAGGATCTGAATTCCTTTCGAAGCCCTCCCACCAGTCGAATCCAGCGTGACCTGAGGGGTCTGACTGACTCCCCCGTTCAGTGCAGAAGGGGCAGGGTGGGGAGCCATCAGGGCGCAGGGTAACCGCATCCCGCGCCTTCTGCCAGTTCTTGCCTATTAAGGTAAGAGTTCTCGGAGGAGTGCGGGAGCGACCGAAGCGGGGGGATCCCCAGAAGGGGCCCCGCGGCCGGTGCGCTCGCCCGGCGCCGGGGGAGCACAGCCCGGGTACTGCCAGCTTCAGGGCGGCCCCGGGTCCTACTTTTCTCTTCTGCCCGAGGCCACCTTCCTAGGTTTCCACAGCCACCGGGGCCGCGTCCTCATTCTCAACCGCCACCGCAGGCCTCAAATGAGTCTCTGCACAGGGCGCTGATTAAATGGGTCTCCGGTCCCCAGCGGACGCTCCTACCCGTCAGATGCCCGCGGAAGCACCGAGAGCGCTGCGCCCGCGGGGCCCCGCAACCGAGGGAAGGTCCCGCGCTGCGGGGGCACAGCGGAGGACGCGTCCTTCCGGCCTTCGGCTCTCCGCCCCCTCTGCGCCCCCACCCCACGCCAGTCTCTCGGGGTCCCCTAGGGCCCGCTCCAGCCCCGCGCCGGGCGCAGGCCCCGCCCCACCGCCCCGCCCCCCGCAGGCCCCGCCCACGGTCCCTCGCGCTCCGCCCCCTCCCCGCCGGCTCCCGCCGCTCCCGGCGCTCCGAGCGCGGGCCTGGGGACTCGGGATCCCGCCGCCGGGGCCGCAGCATGGGGCGCTTCCGCGGGGGCCTGCGATGCATCAAGTACCTGCTGCTCGGCTTCAACCTGCTCTTCTGGGTGAGACCCGGAGCCCGGAGGGCCGGGCAGGGGAGGGGCCGGGCGGGGGCGCGGGGCCAGGGTCCCCGGGGAGCTGGCCTTTGCGGCGTCCGAACCGGGCTCCTGAAGGCTGGGTGTTCAAACAGGCGGAGGTGTGGAAGAGGCAGACAAAGAGGGAGGGGGAAAATAAAAGGGGAGGGATGGAGGGGAAGGAAGCACAGAGGGAGGGAGAGGTTGAGCAACAAGAAACGGTGAGAAGGGGGGGGACACCTTGTGGATCTTACCTTTGAGGAACCTCTGCCTCAGCTGGTGACTCCAGATGCGGGGACACCAGCCCCTCCTCACCTCACCTCCTGAGGAGTGGGTCCCCCCAGCCTTCAGGGCACTCACCCCTTCTTGCTCTCCCTTTCTACCGCAGCGGGGGCCTGGCCAGGGCGCTGGAAGAGAACCCCCCCCTCCGGGCCCAGGAGGGGGCTGCCGGGGGGGGGGGTGGTGCCCCAAAGGGCGTGTGTGGAGACACCACCTGGCGAGGATGGTTTTGTTTAGGAAATTGGGGGTAGGAGTGAAAATGGTATGGGGGGGGGGTCGTCCTTATTCTGGGTGTTAGAAGAGGGTACCACGGGCTGGGAGGGGGTGGTGGTGCTCTTCTGCGAAGCGTATGGACGGAAGAGAGGGGCTTGCAAAGGGCATCGGCATCTCCCCACAACCCCTAGCCCGCAGCCTCTGCTAAATACCACAGATGATCTCATTCAACTTTGCATTGAACCAGCATTCCCCGGATTAGTGGTTCACAGAGAGACAGGGCCATGCCCCTGGTCTCCTATATTATTGGGACAAGGTTAGGGCCAGACCATCCCTAGATCCCCGGCTATCCTGTGTCAGGCCCTGGAGGACAAGGTCTAAAAATTGTTTTCTCTGCACGTTCCTGCTTGGGCTTTCTCAAGAAACTGTCGGTCAGTATAACTGCTCAGTTAGACCCTCGGGGAAAATAAAAATCTTGTTTTGGGTGAACAGGTTCTTAAAGCTGGGGTGGTGGGTTGGGTGGGGGGGGGGGGGGAGCAGCAGTGGCCCGGGTGCTTTGAAACAGCCAGGAAGGAAGAGGATGGTGATTGTCCTATGGGCTCTGGGGAGTCGGTCTTCCCATGGCTGCAACTAATTAATTATTGAGTGATGGGCTCTGCTCATGTCTGCCAACCCATTAGCCCAGATGGCTGGGTGACTTCAGCAACTGCAGCCTCTCAGAAGACAAGTTACCAGGCTCAGCATCCTGCAGCAGGGGAAGGTGTGAAGGAGGCACCCCAAAGACAGCCCCTGAATTTTAAAAATACACATGGTTTTTGTATCCCAGGCATTTACACTCAGCCTACTGTAGGGAGGGACATTTCTAAAGGCCCTTTATGTTGTGCTTTTTAATAGTGTGGCTTAATTTCAAAAGCTGTTAATTATAGATGTCATGCTTGGGTGACACCCTTCGCTCTCGCTGCTTACAAATTCAAAACAAGTTTCATATCAGCCTTAGAAGGAATTCTCGGGCTGGGCTCAGTGCTTACTTAGTGCCTGATGTTATGCCAGCCCTTCCAGGGATAAGAGGAAGCATTTCTTGAATGTTTTCTATGTGTCAGGGACAGTGCTAAGCACATTGCATTCATTATTACACCTAATCCTCACAACAGTCCTCACGTGTATAATATTGCTATCCCCATTTTTACAGTTGAAGAAAGAGGCTCAAATAGGTTGACTTGCCCAAGGTCAAATAGCTAGTGAGTGGCAGAGGCAGGACTCGAACTCCTAAACACTGTGGTACATCACACTCCTAAGCAGGGGTTCTCAAAGAGTGGTTCCTAGCCGAGCAGCATCAGCATTTCCTTAGAACTTGTCAGAAATGCATATTCTCAGCTCCATTCTAGGCCTGCTGAAGCAGGAACTCTGGGGCAGGGACCCAGCAATCTATTTTAGCAACCCTTCTAGGTAATTCTGATGCATGCTTGAGTTTGAGAACCACTGTTAAACAATTATTAAATAAGTATTATAAAGCTCATTTATCACATATAAATATAAATTAATATGTATAATTTGTCAATATAAAATGCTGTTCCCTAAGTTTGCTAATGTTGTTAAGGAAACAAGCCCAATGCATATAGAACAACAAGTTAAGTATATAATCAAGCGAAAAGTTCACACTTCTGGCCATAAGCACAATAAAGAAGGGAAGTAGGAACGAAGTGATGTTTGAGCGTCTACCATGTGTTAGCTACTGGGGTTAGTCGTGACCTTTTATATGTATGATCTAATTAAGGAGTTCAGAGAAAGGATCACAGCAATAGTGAGGAGTCAGGACTCTTGTCCTGAAGAATAGGGTGCTTAAGCTGAACCCCGAAGGACTGTTGAATGAAGGGAGGCAAGGCAAGGGAGCGATGCCACCATCCAGTCTGACAAAGCGGTCAGGCTTGAGTGCAGAGATCCCGGGCAGAGTGTGCTTGAGTAAGCTATTCTCATCTCTAAGAGTCTGTTTTCTCGTCCATACTATTGAGGTAACGGGGTTGTCAGGAGGATTAAAAGGAAATGTGTAAAGCGCCTGACCTCCTCTTCCTATGAGTCTAGTACGTAGTAAGTGCTCAAAAAGCGTTGTTATTAGTGCAGACAGGAAGCATTCGATAAAAATTAGCTCTCTTTCCCGAGTCCCGTGATTTGGGGGAATAGCCTGTCTGTTCGCCAAATGGCTTGCAGCTTGTCTTTGTTTTAGGATAACTACATGTTATCTTTTCAATTCGTACTCACGAATTTGGAGCGCTAGAACTCGGAGTGCTCGGAGAGCAGGAGTTTTTTGTTTGTTTTGTTTTTATGTCTCGTTCACAGTTGCACCTCCAGTGCCTAGAACAGAACCCAGCACGCAGGAGCCGCTCAATGAATAGTCTGTAGAATGAATTCATGAATCTGCAGGTTAGAGGACGTGGTACAAATAACCTTTCCAGTTTGCACAGATAATCAATGATCGACTTTCTCTGGATGACTGAGCCTATCTCTTCCCGCTCATTACCTGCCAATTTGTTCTGTCTTGGGCAGATTGAGCACAGGACAGGGGCAGGGATGGGTGCGGGTGGTATGGGGTCTTCCTCTCTCCCAACTCCATGGGAGGGTGGGGACTGTGGGTCTCAGAGCAGCAGCAGTTACAAGAGGCCTTCCCAGGTCCTCTACATGCACAACCACAGGGAAACGGCCAGCTGAAACCAGTACATAATGACTTAGGGGAAAATGAGTATTTGGGATAAATTATCTAGATGTCTACCTTCACTGTAACTGAGGGAACCTGATTCCAGAAAAGCCCCACCCTCGTTTCTGAAGTTGTTTTTCCTGGTTGGAGGGGTTTGTGGGGAGGTTGGGGAATGGGCAGAGGGTGGGGGCCAGTTTTCCTGGAAGGCTGGGCTTTAACTGTGATATTCAAGTGTAATATTGCCACACACTGTTGGATGTTTGGGTGTCTGCCCCTCTGAGATAGAAGGTCCCCCTCGGGGACTACACTCTCTTTCCTATCAGGCCTTCAACAGAAGGCAGGCAAGGAGGTAGGGGTGGGTGTGTTCTGTGATCTGCAATTTGACAAATCAATTTGCAGCCTCCTCTGGCAGTTTGGTTTAAGTAAGCCTCCCCAGGCTGTGCTCCTGATTTTATAAACATTCAGCTAGATCCTGCCAGAGCCAGCACAGCACTGCCTGGCCCAGGGCCGCTGACTGTATTCACCACTGAATTTTTAAAAACAGAAGTACAGCCTAGCCATGAACCCCACCAAATTCATGTCTGTTATCATGGTCGATGTCTAACATGGAACCCCTCCCAACATCTGTCATGTCTAAATTCGGACACTGCAATCAGATAGCACAGTATATTCCCATGCCTTTCACTGAAATCACCTTTATTTTTTTCTTCTGTTGCATAGCAATATAAACAAAACACCACAGTCCACCACACTGCATATGTTGGTTTCAAGAAAAACCTGGGCGCTGTTTATTCCTTGGTTTATTGTTGTACGCTCAGCGTTTTCCTATCATTGTGCTATACCGAGCAACTTGGTGTTAGCGACCGACAGGAAGCAGGACTGCTCATTGTTGAAAGTCACATGCCATATATGGCTTGTCTGAAGTTTCTCTCCTTTCCTTCTCACCACTATTCGTGCAGCTTTGGGGTTTCAGTCGGTGATGTCTAGCAGGTGCTGTTGGGAAAGACTGTGTCCCGTGGGCTGGGGAGTAAAACATATTTGACCCTACTGAAGCTTACACAGGTTGCCTCCTCCACTTTGTCAAATTGAATTCAAACAGCGACTTCAGAGCTACCACCTGTTCAGAACACTGGTTTAGAAAAATACCTGAAGAAAGTATTCTTTGGAGTCCACCCAAAAGCTAGACCACCCCAGAAGGCAGACAGGAATTTCCTTGGCCTTCTTGTAGGATAGTCTTTGTTTCTGATTTCTGTCTAGGGGGGGAAGATAGCAGTGGAGGCCAGCCTCCCCTAACGTGGACAAGAGGGGCCTAGCATTGCTGGAGGGGGCAAGGAGTCTATGACAGGGCCAGTGTGTGGAGGCTAGAGGTATAGTGCCAGTAGTCGGGTAGACCTCGGACAGGTCCAGGCACTATGGCCATTCAAATCCAGGAACTCAAAGCCAGGAAGGTGGATACTGGCATCACACTGCCTGGGGTTGTTCTTGCCTGTATTATTTACTAACTAGGGGACCTTGGACAAGTTGTTCAACCTCTTTGAGCCTCAGTTTTCTCATCTATAAAATAGACATAATTGAGTACCAACATCCATCTGTGATTTTCGTGCAGATAAAATGAGTTACTATAGGCAAAATAGTAAGTATAGTACGTGTGCATAGGTAACACTCAATAACGTAAGCTATTAGCAGCAGTCATATTTAAGCATTAGAAGTACAAGTAGAAACCAGAATCCAAGAGGTTCATAAAGGTAAAGAGAAGTGGCAGATAGGTGGCCTAGGTCCAACCGACCAACTAAAAGGGCAAGAGTTTCAT